CGAGAAAAAACCCATGTCAGGTTTGTTGGCTAAGGTGGCCTAATGTTTGGGCCTTTTTTTATTTTCTAGACTAGGCGAACAATGCATCATCCATTTAGTTTTGTTTTTAAGAATAAGATGACATGTTGTCTACTATTTTTGTTGCCACAAACACATCATCTCTAGTTCATGAAGGCCACTTCATGTGGTCAAAAGTTGGGCTTCCAACTTCTTTGATAAAAAAAACTCATTATCAACTATTTTTTCACTTGAAAACACTAATGAAACACTCTAGAGACCATAAAAAAAATTCATTTATTGTCTTAAATATGAAAAACAATCAATCTGAAGATGAAAAATCAACCTAAATTTAAAAAACAACTAAAAAAAATTAATCTTTTTTTTTTCAAGCAAGATGAAAGCCAATGAACATCTCAATGGAACCCCTTTCTTTAAAAGTACGCCATTGACTTCAAGAATGACTTTTTTATGGCAAAAATAGGGTCAACTGATAACTCTTCCCTTTTATTATTTTCAGATGACTCTCCCCCCCTCCCTCCTCAAACCAAAGGCCAAGATATGAAGAAAATAAAATCTTTGACTAACATATTTGGTCTTTGAACTTAAAGGACTTGTCACATGTTGATCCTTTCATTTATGTGATAGGGCTGCATTTAAAATGGACATTTACCACAAATTAAAGTTATCTTATATTATTAGATATATTATTATAAAACATGCTTTGGTTAAGGAGTTATTGATACTTCAAGTGCAAAATGATGATATAAAACCATGATAAAAATGCACTTTTAAGTACTAATCACACCCCTAGCACATTTTACCTGAAGTAAGTTGTATTGTATGGTTTGAATATGTTTTAAAGGTTTTGCTAGGTTTCTAAGTGATAGTTAATCTATGGCTCAAAGTGAAGATTCATTCATGTGAATAAATCTAGTGTTTTGAATTCATTATGGGATCATGTTCCTAAACAAATTCTTATAAAAATGATCTATGTAAATATTTCGACAAAGTTCACCTATCTTAAAAGGTGAGAGAGTTTTCCACAACTCTGTGTCTCAGTGAGAAATACTCATGTGTTGTGATAAGAAATACTCCCAATTAAAATTGTTGAATATCTAGAATAATTTTGAGAATTTTCTGGTTAATTTCTGATGTTTAAATATCAGCCTACTTATAGGTCTAACATTTACACCAAAATATTGACCATTAATTCTCATAAATTAAAATTTTAGTAATTATTGAAATATTAGTCAAATTCTCATGGATTCAATAAACTAATTAATAAATACAAAATGCATGCTAAAACAATATTGCATACCATGTATTTTATTTTTTAAATAAAATATAATTTTTGTATTTTTAAGAGACTTGGTTATGTACAATTAAAACATTTGGATACATTAAAATCCTTTTATTTTTTTCTATCTTTTTTATCATGAAAAGAAGATAAGTAATAAAAAAAATACAACACACATTTATGCACATTCTCCTTTTTTACTATATTTTACTCACTCGCACACACACTTATAATTACACCTTTTACAAATCACCAAAATTTAAAATTTAACAATAATTTAAACCATATATTAAACCTCTAAAAATTGTAAAATGGACCTTTTAAAGGTCAAAAACAGGTTGAAGAGATTGCAGGGAACTCATAAAACATGCAGAATATGAGGAACAATGGTGGCGTGTCTACTCCATAAGCTACCGTCCCAATCAAAACCTAAAAAATAGGTGGATCTCGAGCGGTTTCCCCTTTTTTTTACTCCATATATCGACGGTGACTCTTACTGTGACCAGTAAAAGGAACAAAAAGCAACAAATACATGATTTTATCTTCGTTTTTATTTATTTATAGATCCCCTGCTCTTTTACTCTACATATAGATTTGTCATGCTGAAATTGGGCTTCATTATTAATGGTAGAGGTTGTTGGTTTCTGCCGGTGTAAAGAGGAGATGATGAGCGGCGAACTTGATAGTGAGAGAGGTTAGCTTGTAAGGTTTCGGACAACTGATTTTGGTAAGGAAGAGGGGGAGATGTTGTTGTTATCTGTGGTCACTAAGGCTATTGGGCTAAAAGGTGTTGATAGGATCGGTTGGCTTAAGGGAACTCACCAATGCTGGTGGTGATAAGGTCGAGAGAAAGATGGGGTTATCTTGTGTTGATGGCGGTTGATTATATTACAACTAGGTTAAGGGGTCGGTGGTGGTGCTAACCTTTGATAATAAAGGAGAAATAAGTGAAGGCTTTGGTTTTGTTTATACGGGTTTTGGATAAAAAAGAGATCGATTGTTTTCTTTTATTTAAGAAAAGAAGAAGTTATGGTTGGCGATGCTATTGATAATGATAAAGAAGAGTTATCGATCAAAATTCTGTTAGGAGTGGTGATAGATGGTGTGAGGGATGATGAGAACTAAAGTTTTGGTGGTTTATGGTGATTCAGTGCCTAATGATTTTGGACATGGGACTATGATTTGATATATGTTTTGGTGGTGTGAGATACTAGAAGGGGTAAAAGAGAAGCTTGGGTTAATTAATGAAAAATGGTGACTGAGCTTTAGGTGGTTGTCAATGGGTAGATGATAAAAAAGTATTTAATTGGTATGGTGAGAGAGGACAGATTTGTCGTGGAGAGTAGGTAAACTCCAATCATTGATGATGAGGAAAATGGTTATCGTAGGTTGATGAAAGTGTTGTGATTTGCTGGATTCCTTTTATAGTGGTGGCTACTTGTGGAGGAAAAGAGGAAGGCTGGTGTGCAGGGATAGAGGTTGGAGTGTAGTGTTGGTTAGTATGGGTCACTTATTTTTTCCTTGTGTAGCTGGTGATTGGTTTCAGAATAATAGGTTTAAGCATTTTTTGTATTATGTAGGTGTTTTTGTGCTAATAGATAGGAGAATATTTTAGTGTGTAGGTGGTTTTTTCTAACTAAATCCCTTTTTTGTATTATGTGGGTGTTTTTGTGCTAATAAATGGGAGAATGTTTTGGTGTGTGGGTGGTTTTTCTAACTAAATCTCTTATAAAATTCCCCCTTGAAATTTTCTACCCTCTTATTGTGTGTGTGTAGTGAAAATTTTCTTTGGCTTTAAAGCAAAGTAAAACAAGATTAATCATTGTATTTTAATAATAAATTTCAACCATTCATTTAATAATTTGGAGACAGAGGAAAGAAAAATAAACCATTGAATTAAAAGAATGATTGTAGACTATTTGATTTTAAAAGTTGGGTTGCTTGGTGAGAGAGTTTTCAATTTTCAAATTGATCTTTTCCCTTCTATAATTATAATTAGATCACTAAAAATTAAATGTATTTTTTCTTTGTTCATTATTCCTTTTCTTTTTAATTTTTTAGAAAAGAAGATGAAATAATGTAAATATGTCAAAAATATATTTTATATGTTTTTGCCTTTGTTTTTGCTATTTTTGTTTTTTTTTCAACTTTTTTCCAAAATAGAATAAAAAATTGAGTAGTACCAAAATTAATAAGAAAGTTGACAAAATACAATTTAGAAAAAAAGTGAAGGGACCATTTTTTTTTCCTAATAGGGTTGTCATTTTGCTTTTTCTTTAATTTTGATCTTCTAGTTTTTTTTGTTTTAAATAAATAATAAAATAAAATAAATTTTTATAAAATTGAAAAACAATCCAACAATATTTTTTTACTACAATAGCATAAAAAGAAGAAGAAGAGAGAAGGAACAAGTAACAAAACCAATGATATGTAATAAGTAAAGGCTTGAACAAGAAATTCATTTTTTTTTTATGTTTTTGTTTACTCTATTTTATCTTTAGGTTGGATTATATCTATCGAGTTTGAAAAAGCCTACTCATATTGTGAAAGGCAAAGGCATTTGACCTTTTTATCGGCATTTGACCTTTTTATCAATAGTATTAAATTATATCTTTTAGATGAATGAAGATTAAATAAAGTTTTTATTAATGATTATAATGTCTAGTGTTATATATTAAATTATGTTTTTATATAGAAATGATATTATTATAAATTTTGTTAATTTTTTTTATTATGATGGTGGTAAAATTATAATCATTAATGTTTTTAGATAATTTTTTTTATATTTGTTTTTTATACTTGGTATTTATATCATTTTACACTTGATTTATTTATCACCATTTTTTTTCTTATTTGTTTTTAGTTTTTCTTTTTTTTTCCTTTAGTTTTTTTAGGGAAAAATTATTATTTTATATTTTTACACTTTCAATATTTATCACTCTACTCTTAGCCTATTTATATTGTTTTTTTTTGTTTTTATCTTTATTCTTTTGTAATTTATTTTTTAAATTTTTTCTTTATACTTTTTTTTAAAATTATTATACAAAAACTAAAAAAATAATATTTCTACATAGCAATCGCTACATTGTTTCATTTTTTTTCTACGTTAAAAATTAACTTGAAAACTTAAATATTTTTATCAAGGTATATGTTTATTATTATATTTTATTATGTTTAAACATCAACTTTTTGATTTATAGTTATATTGTTTATCCAATGTCAAAAACCATGTTCATAACACTTATACCTTATTTTTTTTGTTTAAAAAAATTATTTGACCTACAATAAAATGAGTTGAATAAACATGTTGCCATTTTGTTTTTCGTATTTATTAATATAAATAATTTTTAATTTATTTAATTAAATATATATATATATATAGACTTTTTAATTTATAATTATAATTTTTTTTCCAAAAACACATATTTAATAAGGTTGCATATTTAAAAAAAATTATTCAACCCGCGGAAAAAATGTTCAAATAATAATTACATAGAGTGATATTGAAGATTCCACTCGGGTAAATTGGTACGAGAACCAGTAGAGCCAGAGAAAATGTCCAAGTTCAATGAATCTATTACGAGGGGTATCCAGAACCAGATTGCAACATGGGCTAGGTTCGCCTCAAACGTAGTTTTATCACGGTTGAAAATAAACCATACAGTCCTAGACAGATCCAAAGGCAGTTATATATATATATATATATATATATATATAGGAGGAGGAGGAGGAGGGCACAGCAGGAGGCTTGTATATGTGAGCTATGTCGACAAACTGAAATATTCATCGGAAGTTGATTAGAAATGGGCAATGGGTTTGTTTGGGGTCACCCTGAGTTCCTCCTAGCTTCTTCAGTGCCCGTGGAAAGCTAATGCTACAATTATCTTGAGCTGGTAAGATTGGCAGGTGTCAGATTTGGATGTGTTAAAGGTAATATTATTGATTATTTACGGCGCCATTCAAGTAGTTGTTCTAGTGTTAGAGGATTTAATCAAGTATATGTGGTATTACTCCTGATTTGCTGAAGGGTTTGGAGGAACTCTAGGTGCTGCCAAACTTTTTACCTGTCATGTTGTGTGGTTGATGCAGATCTGAATCGGATAATTTGGTGGGTTATTAAGATTATCTATTACTTTGCAACTTGCAATTAATTAGTTCCGGACTGGTTCAACGCTCCTAGGGTTAATCTTAATCTTTCTTTCTTTCTTTCTTTCTATTTGGACTTTTTTTAACCACTCTTCAACTTCTGCTAAAGGGAGGATAAACTTCTCTACCAGAATAATGAAGATAAATTGAAACATGATCAACAGCTGCTTCGGATATGGCATGAAAATGTCAAAACAGCTGCACTAATGATGAGTGTGTAGTACTACAAGGCCTTTGAAGGCCACAGGATCAAAACTCCACATTTGTTAGTAAAATGGAGGTTGTGGAAGGGCACACCTCGACCTCCTCTTACATGGCATCCACAAACTGTACCAGTAATCTCTTCAAATCTCCTTAATTCTTTGTTGCTGCCAAGTTCAAGATTCCACCGCAAAGAGGAAAGCAAAATTATCCAAACATACAGATAGCATAATTGACTTCAAGAGTAGATCAAAAAAAGAAGTAGAGGTAAAATAGAAAAGCAAACTAGGCAAGGGGGCTGCCACTGGTTGCAGAAGTGAGAGCGGCACTTGTTTTCTTTGTTTTTTCCCAGATCCTTGGCGAAGAGTAGTTATATAATTAAAATTTTATTTTGCGGCTCAGAATGCAGCAAGATATCTCTGGTCTAACAAGAAAGGTTGTCATTTCTTCATCAGGTGCACAAATTAAGGACTTGGAGAGACTAGACAAAATACTTCTCAATTATTTTCAACAATTTGGTATTTGTGCTTTTCTCTCACAATTGGAATCTAATTACTATGAGTACATGTATGTGTTCTTGGGCTACCGCTTATGTTATATTGAAATTTCATGATGATATTGCTAACATTTTGGTATCAAAGCAATATCTCCAGTCTGGTTTTTTTATTCCATTTAAGATCTCTATGATTGCATATAATTTATCTGGTTTATCTATTAAATTATGTAGATTACGTATGTTTTCAAGTTTGCTTTTTATTTGAGACTCTGTACAATGTCGAATTCTACTGAAATTCATGCATGTGTGGTATTTTACTTTGTATTTCAAAACTCTACTCAACCCGGAATTCTACTGAAATTCTTGCATGTGGAATTATACTGGAATTCTTACATTTATGATGTTTTATTTATAAATTTTATTTTTGAAAAAACTAATTAGATAATCAAATTCCATGTGAAATTAAGAGAGAGAGAAAAAAGCCCGATGATGCTGCATGTTCTTATCTTGTATGGATCATGAATAACATTATGGGTCTGTAACTAGATAAAGAATCCTTTTGCTACACTTCTGCGTAATTGTCATTTGGGTAAAATATATAAATTTATATTGCAAGAATGTGTAACAAATAGCAGGCTAGTCTAGTGGCACATGTTATGTAGTGTATATTTTACATTCTAAGGAACTATCACTTTCAGTTGTGGTTTTTTTAAAAGTAAATTTTAAAAAATATGTTTGGTTAAAACTGTAATAAAATAAATTTTTACATATAAAATAAATAAATAATAGGATTTTTACATGTAAAATAAATAAAAAATAGGGTTTTAATAGAGTTTTATGAATAAAAAATAAGTTATTTTAATTTTTATAAATCCAATGTTTAAAACACAATTATGTGTGAGAGGTTCAATTTAAAAAATAGAGGTCACTAACCAAATAGTTTTTTTTTATTTGGTAAAGTTAAAAAAACAAAAATCACCATTCTTTTAATTATTTAAGGTAAGGTGGGTTGGATTCACTTGCTAATATTTTGTTGAATAAAACCTCAACATTAAATGTTGCTTTTATGGAGAATCGAACTCAGGAAAATATGAAAAAAAAAACACACCATTAGGTTGTTATTGTTGTTAATTCATTACATGTGTATATTAGGATTTTTATGCATTCTAAATTTTTCAATGCATATTCTTTGTTTTCCTAAATATAAAGAATTTGCAGTTGACTTAAAATGTAGTCAATAATTATGATGTCATATTAAGTTTATATTAGAGAAATTAAGTAATAGCTACAGAATTTTTAATTATAAAAATATATAGTAACATTAAGTTTAGTTACATAAAGTTAATAACATCAATAATTATAATTAATCTTAGAAATATAATGGTTCACCCCCCTTACTCCCACCCCCCTATTTTTAATTTTTATATTTAAGTGATACATTAGGATAAGATAGAAATAATAATAATAAATATTAATCTAGTTGCCTAGAGGCCTAGAAAATTCTTTTAGAAATAAATGTTAGTCCCATCATAAAGTAATTTAAATTGCTTGGATGTTATAATCTAAGCTAATTTATTTTTTTAGATTAACTTACATAGATACATGTTTTGCGTTTGGCTTCATCACATGTTTGTTTTAGTAAGCTTTGTTGTTTATTTATAATTTAAATTGCTAGGATGTTATAATCTAAGCTAATTTATTTTTTTAGCTTAACTTACATGGGTACATGTTTTGTGTGTGGCTTCATCACATGTTTTATTTAGTAAGCTTTGTTTTTTATATATAATTATTCAAACTTTATTTTTTATGAATTTGATTTCATTTAATGTTGCTTTTATAAGTGTTCATAATTATGTTGATTGGAAGCAAAAATTTCTTCTTACATTAGGTTGCATGGACCTTGATGTAGCCCTTTGAGTGGATGAACCTCTAATTAAAGCCCATGGAATCAAGCAAGGGAAAATGCCTCTTCATCAAGTTAATAAGGGCAATGTCAGATTTATTTATTTTTTTGCGAGAAGAAAGGACATGTAAAGAAGACATATCCTAAATTCAAGCATAGACTTGAAAAGAAAGGTAATCTCATCATTTTAGTGTGTTTTGAATTTAATATAGTTCATGTTTCGCATAATATTTGGTGGGTTGATTTTGATTCTACAATCAATGACAATGCCATGCAAGGCTTCTTAAAAAAAAAGATGAAAAATGAATGTGTTATCTATTTAAGAAACACTACCTTCCTGTGAAGATGCATTTGGGACTTACAGGCTTGTTCTTATTTCTTGTTTTATTTTAGATCTTGAAAAAACCTTTTATGTTTTATCTTTTTCAATAAAACATATTTCAGTTTTAAAACTTTTATGTTGTGCATTTAATTTTAAATTCATTGTAACTCTGTTTATTTTTATAAATACAATGTTTTTGTTGGTAATGGTATTATGGATTATGGATTATTCAAATTTCATTTAAATCCTACCCTTGATTATAACCTTATGATTTTGCATGTTAATAATATTGGCATTAAACGTGGGGTTATAAATGAGAGATCTTTTATAGTTTGGCATATGATATTAGATCATATATTCATTGATAGAACTAAAAGATTGGTAAATAATGGAGTTCTAAAGGCTATTGATTTTAGTACTTATATAAATTGTATTAAAGAAAAGCAAACTAATAAGTTGAAAATGGGTCCCACAATGACTTCGGATTCTTTTTTTTATATATAGATTATGCACATTGCTATTTGAGGTTTTTATGAAGCATGATTTAATAGTTAGAAATATCTAATTACTTTTATTAGTTATTAATGACTATAGACGATATATTCATCTCTATTTTTTATGAAAAAAAGTAAAACATCATATGCTTTTAAAGTCTATAACACAAAAGTAGAGAAACCATCACTCAAACAAATTAAGATGAGAGGTCAAATAAAAATGGTGAATATTATGGCAAGTAAACTAACAAGGGATAATTATAAGGTCCATTTGTAAGGTTTCTTGATGATTAAAGTATTATGGGATAATTATAAGGTCCATTTGTAAGGTTTTTTGATGATGCACAATACACACTGTTTCACTCACAATCTTAAAATAATATAGCTAAAAGAAAAAATCAAATATTAATGAATTTGATAAGGAATATGGTTAGTAACTTCGAGCACCCATTATCTATATGGAATGGAGCTCTAAAAATAACATACTAAATAACATTCCAACCAAGGCAATTATAAAATACCATTTGAGTTATAGAAAGGTTGGAAACCTAGTTAAGGCATAGTCATGTATAAATTTACTTGATTGAAGTTAGTGTATACAATCCACATAAAATAAAATTAGATTAAGGAATAATTAGTAAACATTTCATTGCCTATACAAAAAATTCTAAGGGATAGAGATTTTATTGTCCATTTTGTGAAACAAAAGTTATGGAATCTAAAAATTCAAGTTCCTTGAGAATGATGAGATTAGTAAGATTAATCAACCTCAAAACTTGGTTTTTAAGAAGAATAATAGTTTTAAACCTACTCCTACGTCTTCATATAAAATCTTCATATAAATTGGTTTTGTTTCATAATAATTAAGATTTGATAACTAAAAAAACTAATCATTAAAGAACCACATCATCATAAGGATATTTCTATATATTGATGTAATATTGAGAATATATTTAACATTTAGGAAACCTATAATTTTCTCAAATTATGCTGTGTACCTATAAGAATATGACATGAGCATCAGTGTTGGTGATGCTATGAGTGGATATAAACCTATATTATGGTATACATTTATTAGGAATAAGTTAAATTTAATGATTAATAACAAAGTTTTGAATCTTGTTGAGTTACGTAAAGGTAGAAAAGCTATTAGATGTAAGTAGAATTTTTAAAACCAAAAGAGACTTTTTAGGAAATATTAAAAGATCTAATGCAAGATTTTTAGCTAAAGGATTGAATATCATGATACCTTCTCTCGTGTTTCAAAAAAGGAATCATTTTTTTAATAATCACGATATTGATAGCTCATTTTGTTATGAAGTTGCATCAGATGGATATAGAAATGACATTCCTCAGTAAATACCTTAAAGAAAGGTTTAAATTAAACTATAAGGTTTCATTTTAGAGATGAACAATCACTTGATTTATAGACTTAATAAGTCAATATATCATCTAAAACAAGCCTTTTATTATTGGTATTTAAAATTCTATAATGTTATTTCTTCATTTGATTTTATAGAGAATATCATGGATTAATGTATAGATTATAAGGTCAATGAAAAGAAAATAATTTTCTTAGTCCTATATATAAATGATATTCTACTTGCTTTGAATGACTTTGGTTTACCTAGTGCGATTAAATGATTTTTTTGGTGCAATTTGATATTAAAAATAAGCAATACTTGTTGTGTCTTAGGCATAAATATTGAGGTAGACAAATCCTAAGGGATATTAGGATTGTCTTGAAAAGCCTATATTAATGAAAGTTTTTAGAGATTTCATATAAATGATTGATTATCTAGTGTTGCACTTATTTTTAAATGTAATACATGCAGTTTGGAACAATATTAGTTGGTTATAAAGAATAGGTTTGGTTCTAAAGATATCTTTGATTTTGTTTCTGACTTTTTTTTTTAAGGTAGGTAATACAACAAGAAATTTTTCTTTCTAGAAAAGTTGGTTGGAGTCTTCTCAAAGCATAACATGAGTAAAAAAATGTTTTTGTACTAATAAAAATCACTAAGTATTTTGCACTTAATGAATCTCCTATGAAATGTTGAGAAATAGTTAGTATTAGGGTTAATACTATATCTTGGATAGGGTTGTTAGATGGTTTAGGATTGATGTTTGGTCTTTATATGTTTGAATGTATTGCAGAATCTCTAATTTTTAGGTATCAGTGAGATGGTAATCTCATTATCCTTTTAAGTGGCTAAAAAATCCTACAATTAAAAGTTTAACTATAGCTTTTGGTTGAGTTCCAATATGGGTTTTGTAAGCATTGGCAACCATAATCATTTATTATAAAGTATTGAAGATATTATATTATGTCATTCCATCAAAGTTTCATTTATATAAAGAAGTTCCATTTATATAAAGAAGAGGCATTGAACTTATATTAGTTGGTAATGTTTGGCTCATTTTGGATTTCTATGTCTAGTGTAACATGAGTTGTTTTGGGTGCAATGTTCCTCCAATAAAGTTTGTATATTTCAAGAATTTCTTTATTGGAAGGCTTATTTTTCAGCAAAAGTTTGTTTATGTCATGTTATATGGTGTTTATATAGCTTGTAGAAGTTTGAGGATGGTTACTAACTTGGGATATATTAAGAACAATTAAGGTGGAAAAGGAAGCTTTAAGGTGGTTGAGATGATTTTTGGTAGCTTTAAGAAATCTTTTTTATTATTTTAAAGTTTAGTTTAGCTAGATTTAGTGACTTGGTATAGTTTGAAAACTGAATTTTTTTAGTCTTTGTTTAGCGGGTTTTCTAGTTTCAACAAGAGAAAATAAAGATTTTTAAATCTGTTTTTCTATTCTAGTCAGTTGTTTTCCAGTAGTGTTGAGGTTTATGTTTGTGAAGTTGTTTCATTATGTAATGTGTTTGGTATTGGTTGTAACATTTTTATTTGGGGATTTATAAAGAGCGACTTCACTTGTTTGGTTTTTATGAGAAATTTTAAAGTTTCTCAAATAAAGATGTTCAGATTCAATAATAGGAGAATTGCTTTTTAGTTTTCAATTGGTGGTTTTGTTTTCTAATTGTAATGAGTTATGAATCTTTTATGACAAGAAATGCAATATGATTTTAAAATACATAATATAACTTAATTCAATTAAAAAACAAGATTTATATTTTATGTAATATAACAAAATTATAAAAACATATTTTTATTTCTAATCTTTGTTTTAGAGGTTTTTTTTCTAAAACCAAGATCTCTTTTTAAAGTTATGATTATAATTGAAATCATCAATAAAATATGTTTTTATTAATGATAAATTTTTTTCTAAAATATTTAGTTTATTTTGGATATTCTTTATTATATCAGATAAAATTGAAGAGGTTCGTGGAAAGGATTGGTGACACGACCAAAGAGTTTAATGTTTTCTTCCAAGTATACAAGTGTTGAAATAATAAATAACCCGGTAAAACTAGGGTCGAGCCACATGAATGTTAATAATAATAATAATAATAATAATAATAATAATGGTGATGATGATGATAATGATGATTATAAGTTAAAGATAACTTTGATATGTAAAATTAATATAAGGATTAAAAAAATAATAAAATAATTATCAATATTAGAGGATCCACTGATGGTATTTTAAACAAGTATATTATAAACTCTTTTTATTACTTAATTGGAAACCACATATTAATAAAGTTTCAATCAAATTATAAATTATTGACATGATTACATTAGTTATCTTATTCGAATAATGTTAATACCTGTAAATATGGTCATGTTTCATGATTATAACTTATGTTAATAACAAATCAAGTTCCTTTCATAGCATAGATATCGGTTATATCTTACGATTAGGCTATAAAAGTACTAAATATTTGTTGTACCAAGGGTTATACAACATAAATCTAGATTAACCATTTAACAAGCAAAATATTAAAATTGAACGAGATAACAAATATAAAACATATTACTTTCAAACATTAAAATCCATGTTGAGTTTATATTATACTTATTCTTACACCAATAATGTATCATTTTCACCTTGACATGATAAATTTCGCTAAACATAATGAAGAAGAGAAACATAAACAAACAAGACAAGAATATAAATAAGATACCAAGTTAACTAAGTAAAGAAAAGAAAATGAAAAGCATAAATAAGAAATTAAAAAAAGCAAAACTCAAGCATTACAAAAATATAAAGAAAGAGCAAGAACATGATCTTTATCTGAAAACCAAGATATTTAAATTCATGGCAAATATCTTTTTTTTATAGTCTAAAATTTAAAACTATTGATTTGTTGACTAATTATTGAGTGGATGGTCATATCTTTACTTGGTGACAATCATTATCTTCTTGTCGGAATAAAATATCATTGCTAACATGAGAATTTGAATAGACTATTTACATGAAAGTTCTATGAAATTATCTCAGCTTTTCAACAAAAAAAAATAAGGTCATTTGAATTTCTAGAACTCGAGCTATGGGCTGAACATTGAACAGTGTTTGGACTGTAGGAAAGATTCAGACTTCTCTGTTGTTGCTATAATTTTAAC